TTCTTGGAAGTCGGCAAAGCATAAAACAGTGTCTCGATCATCATCTGAGGCTGAATATAAGGCGGTTGCTAATGCAAGTGCAGAAATGTTATGGGTCCGTAATCTGCTTACTGAGTTGGGTATTTCTATCATCCACGCCACAACTTTTCTGTGACAATCAAGGTGCCACTTACGTGTGCATTAATCCCGTTTTCCACTCTCGGATGAAACATCTTGCATTAGACTATTTTTTTTTGTACGTGAGCTAGTTGAGCAGGGACAGCTGGTTGTTAATCATATCTCAACTAAAAATCAAATTGCTGACATTCTCACCAAACCGCTTGGCAAGACACCATTCTCATTTTTTTGCTCCAAGCTAGGCGTCTCGAACGGATCCTCTATCTTGCGGGGCATATTGGATCATAATATTATTAACATTTTGTTACTTGTATTTATCTTGTACTCATGTACACATAATTTGTAATTATCTCATACACAATCACCGTGGTAGTTAGTTAGAAGGCCTTATCACCTTAGTTGCCAGCCTATATAAGTCATGTACGTATAGCACTTGTAAATCATCAATAATACTCCTTTCAATATAATTCTTCAATGTTTAGGGTTATCGTTGCTTTTAATAAACATACATTGTTCCACTATTTAACCTTTAAAATTATTACCTATTTTCAATGATGCCTATAAAAGAATAATCTCTAATCATAAACTATAAGTAAGTTAATAATTATAAAGTGCTTGGATGCAAACCTTTTGTTTATAATAATTATAAGGGTTTCTTTTATCCAACCTTTAAATTAGGGATATGAACTTTAATAGGAGGGGAATAACTTTTAGTGAATACACAGTGATAATGTCAAAGTAACATGATTAATTATTATGGGACTTGGTGGGATGAGTTGAAAGTAATTTTAACTTCATTGAATTTTGATCTTTTAAATGCATTTTCAATGTGGAACAAAATAAGTTTCGAAATAGGGGTAAAAGTAACATCAAGTTTATGAATGTGAGTTAGATATTACATTGGTTTAATATTGAATTACAATTTAGCAAGCTACACAAATGATACCTTGCTAAAAGTAGTTTATAATTTGCTCTAATACTACATACAATATAGCCATGAGTTGTTTCGTTGTGTTCTATTAATTGGTTTATTGTTATGTTGTTGGAGTTTTCTATTATTCAATACTCAATTACTTAATGGCTCACATTTCATTAATGCAACGAAATGAGATGATTTGACGAGGTAGGAAAAATGTCATTTATATTACCTCACTTTTCATTTTGTCATGTAAACTACGATTAGAGTAGTGATTTTTTAGGTTGTTATATTACAATCTCCTAAAATTCATATGTTGTTTCAAACTTACAACTAACCTTATATGTGGTTCTCTTTCCAAGCTAAAGATAGCATCAATTTGATTTGATTTCTTGAATTTTCTCATCATTCGTTGAGAATTAACTTCATAAATACCTCTAGTGAAACTTCGTTGACTTTTCTAATCTCGTCATTCTTGTGATTCTTTGGCTGCATTTGTTTTGTGACTAAATTGCTCATTGATGCTTCTTAGTATCATTTGTGGTGTGACATTTTCATTTTTTGGGGCATGCATTAAGAAAAACTTTCTTTTCTGCAGGATGACAGAATTAGTTTGTGAGTGTAATAACATTTAGTAGTGATGATGCATTTAGTAGCTTGTAAGACAACAAAAAATTGTTTATACACACTCTTTTGTACACTCATGTAAACAGATTATTTTGTCTGCAAATAGTGTGTTCACAAACGAAACATGTTCTTTTTAGGGGAAATGGAAACAAATAATCCCACCTATTTCCGGTCTTCTTTCAGCGAGCCCTCCTTTGAGTAATCCAAAAAAAGCCAACGTTTACATCCTATCTTCCTTATATGGTCCTAAACTCAAATTTACCGATTATAAAAAGTAATTCCGTGTTTAGTAACCGGATAAAGGTTATAAACAATGCCTTTATCGAATCTCATCCCTCCCACCTATCTATCTTCTCCAGGACTAATTTCTTTGCCATTAAATATTGTCTGCAAGCTTTCTTAACGTATCTCCTCCCTTCCGGTTACCTGAATTCAGCCCATGTGCGCACAACAAGCTCGAAAAATGCAGCAAAGAGGTACGAAGTGACTCGACTGAGCTTTTCCTTTCTAACGGAAGCTTTTCACCGGATTGCTAAGGTCAAGCATAGTCAGGCAGGTTCGGTTCCTGCTGAATGAAACAGAAAGTAAAAAGAACCTTGGTCTTGGATTAGATTAGGCTAAGCCTAGACAGCCAATGAATGGAAGTTCTCGTTGGTTAGCTCTATCGAACGAAGGTTAGGTTTTCAAAGTGGTCTCTTCGAGACAACAAAGGGACAGCCCTCTATCTATCTCAGAATCTCTCCCTATCTCAAGTTACTTTCTACTTGTTAGAATAAGTGAAAACTACCTTAAGGATGTATCTTTTCGGGTAAACACTGTAACCAAGCAAGTAGGCAAAAAGCTTCCTTATCATCTCTCACAACTTCCTCAAGCTCTTTTCCACTTCGGTTGACCTACGACCAACATCTTGAGTCCTCTAATCCACACTTCATCAGCATTTGAGAGATTATCCAACCCCGAGCAATCTCTTATTACTTTTTTGTATCCCCTGTCCTATGTCTCTTGTCTCCGATTCTGGTGGTGCTTCATTTTCAAAGCGTTCCTTTAGGGCAACTAAACTATCGACTAGGTCTGGCGTTCTGGAGATCCCGCAAAATGGACAGTGAATGCTCAATCTAAGTCCAAGGTGATGGGAAAAATCAATTCAAATGCTGGGTCTTCTTCAACGACATCAAGTAGTGGGACACATGGAAGAATCATTTGTCATCGCAATATGAGTTCATTTTTGAGGTTGTTAAAAATGGAGTTAATGTTGGAAGAAAATTTCGTGGTTGCTGCTTATGGCCGGTAAATGTGTTTGTTATTAATCTTCTTTAATTTTGTTATGAACAGGCTGAAATTAGGGTTCATATTCTGTTTGGGATGTGTGGAAGAGATAAAACAATACTTTTATAATTTTCAACAGCATGAAAATTGCCATTTCTTCAGGTGGGAAGATGATGATGCTAGAACAAAAGAAGTCCACAATCATTCAAATCCAAATGATGTAGAACTTAAGAAGCAAATGGTAGAGGAAAAGATTCAAAAGAGGATGCTAGAAAATGAAGAAGTCCATCCCCAGGAATCAAACACAAGTGAGATAAGATTTCTGCTTGATCAAGGCCATGAAGCACATACAAATCAAGACACCTAACCTTCATCACGATTTCTGTCATTTGCAGAACCTCATGATCATTATATACTTTTTTAATCCATCATCCAAGCTCAGACCAGGTAGCAAGTAAAAGATTTCTTCAATAACATTGTAACTACCACACTTCTTTGCCAATTCTTCCAACCAAAACCAACATAGTTCATGAGGGTCTACCTCAAAACTCCCATTCTTTTCATTCAGATAAACTAAGGCATCATTTTTCTTCCTAAACAAACCACCATGCCAGATTCTTAAAGTGACATGGTTCATTTCAGCCATTCAACCTGCATATGAATGAATATATTTAGCACATTAAAAAGTACATCATTTCATGATTGTTAATAAGAAGCCATCCCAAAACACTAACATTTATAAGCACATTTTATCACACGTTATGCTAATTACTAAGTCAAAAGGCAGCTAATTTCTCTAAAAATTCAATAGGGAATTTTATCAAACACATTCCACTTTATACAAGTCTGATAATGGAGTGAAAGAGTTAAGGAGTGATTTGTAGTTAGCAGAGTTCTAAATTATTACCTGTAATAAACTCAATGGCGAAAGACGTCGTCCTCTGTCACCGTTGCCAGCTTTCTCTTCCATCGTCTGACGTTCATCGGCGCTTCTCCATCTCCCAGCCCGTTCAATAGTCGTAAGTAATTTTAATTCTAAGGTACAGAGTAATATTTAATTGAAGGTAAAAAACATTTAGGGTAAAATTTGTTTCAAGTCAAATGGCCATTGTTTTAAAAATAGACTGATGTAGCCGGTAGAAAGTCATCCGGACCAAAGTGGGAAGATATTATATAAAGGTTGGCTTTTTTATGGATTATCAAATAAATGGACCGTTTAAAGCAGACCGCGTAAAGGTGGGATTATTTGTTTCCATTTTTCCTTCTTTTTATGTGAATAAGTTATTCATAGACAAAAAAATTGTCTGTTCATAGACTTTTGTAGTAGGCGTAAACAAAAATGTGTGTACAAGAAGAAATTACTCCGATTGTTTAATGTTTATATTATTTGTTAATGATGACTTAGCACATATACTTCATCTATACTTGATCAGTTGCAATGATGTAAATGTTGTTAAAATCATACTCCGTATAAGGGGATAATGGTCAAATTGGACATTATGGTTGTTTGAGAATCTCATATTGGACACTAAGGTTTTAAATGGATCAAATTAGACACTATGGTTACTTGTGTGTCTCATATCGGACACTAAAGTTTTAAATTGATCAAATTTTACGTTTTCCTGGTCATTTCCGGACACCCATCAAAGATTTCACCTTGAAAGATATAATTATTCCTTTTTCTCTTGGTTTTATGTACCTAAAAAATAAAAATAACTTAATTTGTTTATTTAGATTTAGAATATATAATTAGGTGCTCCAATTAAGAAAATCTGTTATAATGTAATTGAATTCTTTAATATTTTTAAATCAATTTAATAAATTGATATTTCTTAAAGTTCCATAAAAATCATATGAATGAAAAGTCCTAAATATTTTTTTAAATTGTTAAATATAAGAAGTTATTAATTAAAATCAAATTATATATTCTAAAACTTCAAATTAAATATTCCAAAATTATATACATAATTAAATTGGTTTACTTTCACCGAAAAAGAAAGGAAATGCAAGACTAACCTTTTTTATTAAACAAAGAAGAGAATCATAAGTGAGTGTCCAAAAACTACGAATTATGAAATTTCAGTGTCCAATATGAAATACATATCTAATCATAATGTCCAATTTGATTTAATTAAAACCTTAGTGTCCAATATGAGATTCTCATAAAACAATAGTTTCCAATTTGAGCCTTATCACATTTATATCTTTGAAAGAATGACACAAATATTATCTATAAGGTTTCATTAGACAAATACAGAGTATATCACAATTTTAAAACTTTACAAAAAAGTGACCTTCAACGCATCCCATCCTTGCCGAACCGTTCTTCAACTCAGACTTCAGCGCATCTCCCACTTCATCAAACTGTCTTCTCCAACGCATCTCTGGTGTTCATCAAATTGAACCAGCACCTCCACCCGCGAACTTCTGCATATGAACCAACGCCTCAATCTTTGATCCATCGCAATATTTTGCGTAAGGCTACGATTTTCATGAATTCGGCGAAGAGCTTCGCCATGTGATGACGGCGAGCTCGGATTTGACGCCTCTCCGCCTTGCCGTCCTTCAGATTTGACACGCCGACCAGGAAGCGACCAGATCTGGGGGGAGGGCGGCTACTATGGCTCATTGGCCGGTGGTCGGGGATGGTTTGGGCTGTCAAAGGTGGGGCTGGGAGGGGTGGATTTGGGCTGGTTAGGGTGGTCGGAGTTGGCATGCGGCGGGGATTGGATGGCTGGAGGGGGTGGAGTTGGTCGGAGAAGAGGTTTGTTGGGGCTGGGAGGGGCTGGCCGGGGTTGGGCGGTGGTGGTTGGTGGTCGGTCAGTGGTGATTTGGGTACACTGGTGGTGCCCGGATAGATTTGTGGCTGCACCAGGGAGGGGCAATGGGGATGGTGCACACTGGGGTGTGGGGTCGGTGGTCTCCAGGGGCTGGATGAAGCGGTGCCGGCGGCGGTAACTGGGCGGTGTCAGTGCCAGTGTCACTGTGGCTTGTGTCGGCGGCCAACGGCGACGGTGACTACAATTACACGGACGATGGCACAATGACACAGACGGTGACATGGGCGGCGACTACAGTGACACGGGCGGCTGCTACAGTGACATCGACGGTGGCGACAGTGACATTTGATAGCGACATTAAAATTGGACAGTTACATTAAAATCTGTAAATGACATGAATATGACCTTTTTAGTTACATCTTTGTCCTAATGTTAATGTGATCACATTTTTGAAAATTGTCTTTATTTGAGTAATATTTAGGTAAAAACCCCTATATCTTTTCTAATTGTTATTTCTTGTCTATATATGGTCATTCATTGTTTTCTAATTCTTAGAGAGATCTAAAAAAATTAACGAGAAAGACCATCAATGTGCAACAAAAAACACATCAAACCAAAAAGGATCAAATCATAAATAAAATTTAAATATGGGAAAAAGGTTCAAATAGGCTCATGTACTAACCAAAAAAGGTCAAATAAGCCCTTATTTAGGAGGCTCTGTCCGGCCGTCGTCATTTAGGGTGGTTCCTGGTGGAAATTTTTGATGAAATTTTTTTAGCATCTTATTCATCAAGTCTAGTTTACTCATACCAAATTTCAGCTAAAAATTCAACCGGAAAGGCATTCAAATGAATTCTTGAAGATAACTGCAATTCTAACTGCGCAGTTATTTTCAAGAATTCATTTGAATGCCTTCTCGGTTGAATTTTTAGCTGAAATTTGGTATGAGTAAACTAGACTCGATGAATAAGATGCTTAAAACATTTCATCAAAAAATTCCACTGGGAACCACCCCAAATGGCGATGACCGGACAGAGACTCCTAAATAAGGGCTTATTTGACATTTTTTGATTAGTACATGAGCCTATTTGCACCGTTTCCCTTTAAATATGAGATTCACACGGTACTGATAAAACAAAAAATGGAAAGTTATCCACAATATATAATAAATACGGAGTACTCAGTATAACACATTTTTAGGTAAATCAACATACAAAAACGCCATATTAAACCATACAACATTGAGATATTACCTAAAATAGGACTAAAACACTTTAATAATTCCAAAATAGGATTACCATAATTTTATTCTCAAAATAAGACTAATTATTGTCATGTTTTGGCAGTATCAAACTTCAAACATGATAATATTTTCTAAATATGACAATAATTAGTCCTATTTTAGAAATAAAAACATGACCGTTCTATTTTAGAATTTTAAAACATTTATTAAGGGTTAATTTGTTAGCGGGGTCCGGCCGTCCGGGTATGGAATTTTCCAATTTTTGTCAAGCGGAGAGATGCGCGCGCCAATCATATGGGTCCCACCATGATTCCCTTCACTTTATGCTCTGTTCTTCTTCATTCTTTTGACTCTAGTGATCACTGTGAAAGTCTCCATTTTAGGTTCTCTCCCAAATTTTCTCTTTCTAAAAAGGAAACCGGATCGATCAGAATACAGAGAAGCTAAATCATATTCGGAAATGCGCTCTCATCTTTCTATGTTTGTTTGTATGTAAGAATTATGTCCACCCCATCTCCGGGAGCATCGCCGTCTCCCACATCGCCGCCTCCGGCACCAACCAACATCACATCGCCGCCGCCAACCAACATTACTTCTCCGCCCCCTTCTGAGGCTTCCCCGCCACCTTCCTCGCCGCCACCTTCAGTTCCAGTTCCTTCCGTCTCTTCTCCGCCGCCAGCAACGCCTTCTGCCCCTTCTCCGTCATCTAGCCCCCCTGCGTCGCCAGCAAATTCTTCTACCCCTCCTCCTTCATCCGAGACTCGCCCGTCGCCCGGACCGCCTGCTACCCCTCCTCCGTCGTCTGTGTCCCACCCACCACCGGCGACGCCGTCTACCCACCCGCCGTCATCTAAGTCTCCCCCGTCGCATCCTCTCCCGCCTGCAACCAACTCACGTCCTCCCTCCCGATCTCCTCCTTCCCCGCCGCCGCCTCATTCTGGGTCTAAAGGATCTAATCCAGCTCCTAAAAATGAAGGAAGTAGTCATAACGCCCGTCCATTGCAACCCCCGCCAGATAGCGGAGTCTCCACGGGCTTAGTAGTGGGAATTGCCGTTGGGGCAATCTTGGTATTGGTCCTGCTGAGTTTGATGTTCATATGCTGCAGGAAGAAACGGAGAAGACATCATGGACCAGTGGATTACTATTCACCACCCCCTCCAGGACATAAAGGTGATAAGTTTACTGCTTTACTGCTGGAAAGCTGTGATGTGAAATGTGAATATGTCTTTTGCAATTTCTCCTTTTGAATTTTATTCCTTTTACAATTCTTTTACATGGGATAATGCCTCAGGGAGATTCGAGGCCTTTAATTTGCTACTTGATGATGATGATGATGATGATGATTGAATGAATTATTTGGTGATGAGTAAACTGGGGTTGTTGGAAATGAAATGTTTTGGATGGTGATAGACTATTTGTAAAAGCAATCACAAATTTTGCTTTAACAATACTAATATGCTCCACCTAACCCCACCAAGCCAAGGTGTCTCACTTTGCCTCTCCTCTAACGCTTCTTAGAACATTGAGTAACATACTGGATTACTTCCATGTGAAGTAAGTTGCATAAGGGGTTGTAAGGGGCTCAGAAGATAGTCAGCATCATTAATTTTACCCCAACAATAATATCTAGAATTACATCAGACACTAGTTTCACGGAAAAAAGCTTCGTTACATTTTTATGTTGGATGCCCTTCACTTGCAACATTTCACACAAGAAATAACATGATGAAACTACAAACAATTGGCATAACCACAGGAAACATCCACTTTGCATGGAAAGTATCAAGAGACAGCAGATAAATTGAAATAGTTGCTATGTTCGTCCTATTAGAAATCTGATATTGTAAAATTAACATGCACATTGTATAACACACAGCTCTGTGTTAACATATGGTTATCTACTACATAAATCTACACTAGCTAGTACTCATTGCTAAGTTATCTCACACTTGTAAAAGATATGAAGTCGTGTATAAGACACTAGACTCCTCCTATGACCTTTTAAGATGTAACATCAAGTTTGAATACTAATGAATGACTTCATTTGCAGTTAACGCATATGGTGGCCCCGCACAACAATGGCCACAAAACGCTCCACAACCCACAAATGTTGCTGTTGTGGTTCCTCCTAAGCATTATCCGCCACCTTCAGATGCACCTTGGCCTCCACTGTCTCCTAGTCCTTCACCTCAAGGCCCTCAACCTTCACATACATTTCGACCTCACGCGGGTAGTGGTGGAACTTCATCCAATTATTCTGGGTCTTCAAATTCACTTCTACCATCACTCTCACCCGGGATGTCCTTAAGCATGACAAAAAGCACATTTACGTATGAAGAATTGGTTAGCGCAACTGATGGCTTCTCAGACGCAAACCTTCTTGGACAAGGCGGTTTTGGATATGTGCATAAAGGGGTCCTTACAAATGGAAAAGAGGTCGCTGTTAAGCAACTTAAGGTCGGAAGCGGCCAGGGCGAGCGTGAGTTTCGGGCAGAGGTTGAGATAATTAGCCGAGTTCATCACAAGCATCTTGTTTCTTTGGTTGGATATTGCATCTCTGGATCTCAGAGATTGCTTGTCTATGAGTTTGTACCTAATAACACTTTAGAATTCCACTTACATGGTGAGCTTTTTCCCCTTCAAGTAATGCTAGGGTACCTTAAATCAGAACATTATAAGAAAACACTCCTGCATGACATACATTCGTTAAGTAATGATCGCATGTCTAATTTTTCATCATGGAGTAAATATTGTCAAATAAGAATTTCTCTTTCCCTTTCAGTTTACATATTTACCTGATCTGTTTGGTTAGTAGACAAACAGTCCTACTTACTAGCACTTGAGTTATTTCAGGAAAGGGAAGGCCTCCCTTAGAGTGGCATGCGCGAGTGAAGATTGCTTTAGGTGCTGCAAAAGGGCTGGCATATCTTCATGAAGACTGTGAGTTCATTTTTTGTATAATTTTTTTTCATTGAGTGAACTCTGTTTGAACTTTTAAGTGGAGTGCATTTTGGTTGTTAAAATAAAATATGCAGGCCAACCTAAAATCATTCACCGTGATATCAAATCTGCCAATATACTTCTCGGGTTCAACTTTGAAACAAAGGTGTTGTTCTTATTCTTGCTGTTTAACTTTACACATGGATGCATTTTAGTTAGATGTTTTAGATATGGGGTGACAATAGAATCAACTTATCCACCGTCCATCCAATTGTATCATACACATGAATACTTTTTTCTCCCTTTTTTACTTCATCCAGCCACAGTTAAAGGATCTTCTAAATTTAGTGGGCTCATTGAATTTTCATATGCATCAGCTCTTGATGATGGTATATACATATAGATTTAATTATATATCCTAAAATATGATATGAATTGTTCAATAATTTCTGTACATGAAGAAACAATAAAAAATGGATGGATCCAATATCCATCCATGGAAAAATGTTCATGGATGGATTGGATTTTTTATGAATTTAATGGATCATAAGTGGTTTAGTGTATTCTTAACTTATTCAAGTGATACATGTACTGGAGCAACTTGTTATGCTAAATAAGCACTGTTCATTCTTTCAGGTAGCAGATTTCGGACTTGCAAAATTAACTTCTGATGCTAACACTCATGTCTCCACACGAGTAATGGGCTCATTTGGGTAAAAGCAGTTTTTATGTCTCACTTTGCTAACTTTTTTCTGCTTTGTGATTGAAGAGTATGACATGTTTGAAATTGTACCATTTTGGTTTTTATCCACACCTACTGTGACATTATGATTTTCGGTCTGTTTTGAAGTCAATGGCATTAAACATCTTATACCGGCCAAATATACAGATACAAACTCAAGTATAAGGCCTTGGACTATTAAGTATATTAGGCTATTAAGTCATTTGCCTTTTAGGATGGGTTTCAAGCCTTAATTATAAATACTTTGACTGCTAGTACGATGCCTATTGCTGTGTTTAGGTATTTGTTTTCCATTTGTGTACCATGTGTATTCTTTTTTAGTTGCAACAGTTTGACTTCCTCGTTTCCCATGGACTATTACGTATATAATGCTATGAAGTCATTTTCCTTTTAGGTTGGGTTTCAAGCCTTAATAATAAATACTTTGACTGCTAGTATGATGCCTATTGCTGCGTTTAGGTATTTGTTTTCCATTTTTGTACCACCTGTATTCTTTTTTAGTTGCAACAATTTGACTTCCACGTTTGCCAAAGCAAGACTTTGACCACAATTATATCTAATTATATATTGGCAAAAGCTATAAAAAGTCAATATATTTAAAATTCACAGCATGAGCAGTTTAATCATATTTTATATAAAATAATTGATTATATTTATTTGTAGAAAAGCATGTTCAAAGCAAGGTGTGTGAATAGTTCAAAAGCCAAAGCTTTGCGATTAATAATGAACGGAGGGAGTATTATGTTTTCCTCATACTTCCATAAACGTTGGCTTCAATTTTAGGTATTTGGCCCCAGAATATGCATCTTCAGGAAAACTAACTGAAAAATCAGATGTATTCTCATACGGAGTGGTGCTCTTAGAGCTGATTACTGGGCGGCGGCCTTTTGACTCTAGTCAAACTGTCATGGATGATAGCTTGTTAGATTGGGTGAGCGGTTATCTGATTTTCTTTTTTCTGTTTTAATTTGTCTAACATGCCTTTGCTTTTTTCATTTGTGTTATAGATTTAAGATCCTAACTAAATTGGCTGAATGTTCACAGGCAAGGCCAGTTCTCACTCGAGCTCTTGAAGAAGGAAACTTCAATGCCCTTGTGGATCCACGGCTTGGGAAGGAGTACAGCCAAAACGAAATGGCTCGTGTTGTTGCTTGTGTTGCTTCTTGTGTGCAACACTCAGCTAAGCGTCGTCCTACAATGAACCAGGTACTTACCGAAGCCCCCCCCCCCCCCCCCAAAAAAAAAGTTAACATCAGATAATCTTGGCCAGTCAATGAATGTGTGCCTGAACTCCAGAACATTTTATTTTGGTATCCAAACATAAAAGATGTCTGTGTCTGTAAAATCAGTTATCATCATCGTCATCATCATCATTCATCATGTAACCCAAGCTATTTTCAGGTCTGTTCTAAGAAATTATAGTGTGAATTGATTTCTTAGAATTAGTCAACTCTATGAATAAATTCAAATTCATACTGGCAATGTTCTGCACTGAATGCCTTGTGGCGACTTTCTTATGTAGGAGTGTAGTTGAATTATTACTCTTTCAATAGACGTGATAAAAAGTATCACCTTCTCATCATTATTGGGCCCCACAGGAGGCCAATCCCTTTGAGATTGTTATTATAGTCATTTCTCATTACAGGATTAAAGTATTCCACTTTTGGTCCCTCCACTAATCACTACGTTTTCATTCTCTGACTTTCATGTTTTCACCTCAAGAGCATTAGTACAAATTTCTTGTCACTTTTAATCGTTCTGATCATTGTTCTAAAACTCGCTAGGCGCTAGTCGGGCGGTTGAGGGGCGCCTAGCGCCTAGGCGGCCGACTAGGCCGATTTTTTGGCCGACTAGGCCGATTTTTTGGCCGACTCGGCCGACTCGGCCTCTACAGTTATGGCCGACTAGGCCGCCTAGGCCGATTAATCGGACCGCCTAGGCCGATTTTTAGAACAATGGTTCTGATTAATTATCCTGCAAATGTCCGTGCATGTTTACTTTTTGTCGGGTAATTAATAAGAACAAGAGTGAAAGCGGCAAGGAATCCATAATCATAGATTAAAAGCAGAAAATGAAATTTAGGGATGAAAATTCCATAACAATCATGGGACCAAAAGTAAGGAATTTTCTTGCAAGATTTATATTGTAGCAGGCCATGTGCACTTTCACTTTAAGACCATAATGCAAACTTTTGACATGGGATGGTAAGTGAAGTTTTGACAAACGAATGCAACCATTGGGATTGTGCAGGTTGTAAGAGCTTTGGAAGGACAAGTTTCCCTGTCTGATCTCAGTGAAGGGGTAGCACCAGGACACAGCATGGGATACAGTTCTTATGAAAGTTCAGATTACGACACGGCACAATATAATGATGACATGAAGAAATTCAGGAAAATGGCATTGGAAAGCCGTGATTATGGCAGCACTGGTCAGTATAGCAACCCGTCGAGCGAATATGGTTTGAATCCACCTGGCTCAAGTGGTGAAGCGCATACATACAGGAAGCAAAGTAGAGGTTTCACTTGAAGCAGAAACTAATTAGCAGACATAAAATGCCAAGTGCTACATGACTACATTATTAGTAACATTATAATAATGAAGAGATTTTTGTATAAGTAACAAATTATTTTTTTTCCAAAGCCTGGCCATAGGATTTAAAACTGGTATTTATAATTGACACGTGTCATTCTTAACATTTCAAACGAATTATTTAAAAAAATGAATGTAATATACGCTATTCTAGAAATGTATGATTTCAAGGCATTGAAGAAATTGCTCAAGTTTTAAGAGCTTTGATGTTTTACAAAACAATCTTATGTTTACTTGTTCATTTATACGAGTACATGCACTAATATTCTTCAGCTTTGGATAAGGAAATTGTATAGTAGAGATGAATTTGGTCTAGTCTGGTACTCTAGTGCCCGATTTTAGTAAAACCAGTATCAATATAACCATATAGAAGGGTATATGACCGTTCCAGTTTACCCACCTGGCTTTAGGTCAGTTTTAGATTGGTTTTGAACCTTTTTTTAAATCCAGGACCAAAACTAATTCATTCCTAGCCTGTACTGCAGGACAGAAATCTGGTTTTGCTTAGATTGTTTATTGGTACACACTTTTTCTTATTTTCTGTCCTCTGACTATAGTGTTAGTAATACTTTTGATACTGCACTTTGATTTTTTCCCACTTTTGACTAGGGATGGATTCGGGCCGGGTCGGGCCCGGACCGGGCCTAGGCCCGGTCGGGCCGCCGGTTCGTATCAGATGGGCCCGGGACCGGCCCGAGGGTTGGACGGGTCCGGTTCGGGCCGGGCCACCCGCCCGGGTCACGGGTCGGGCCACCCGCCGGGCCGGGCCGGGCCGGGCCGGTTAAATATTTTTTTTTTAATTTATATTTTATACTTTATAGTTTTATACAAGTATTAAAAAACAAACTTCAAGTGCATTTATTTGAAATGAAATAGGAACTACATTTGAAAATTAAATAGGAACTATAATTGTTTTTAATCGGAATCTCCGGCATAGGTAGAGTCACCCTCTGTAGATTCATCCATAAAGTGTTGGGATGGAGTGATGTCAATTTCTTGAGCTCTACGTGCTGCTTTAAACCAATCGTGGTAGCATATAAGCATCTCAAGAGATTCAGCGCTCAACCTCGTTCTGGTTTGTGTTAGAACATTGCCGGCCGAACTAAATTCTTGTTCCACGGCAACCGTTGAAACCGGCATTGATAGCACTTGCTTAGCCATCTTTGCTCAAACCGGGAACATTCTTTCTTTTCCCTTCCACCAGTTTAGTACGTCAAAATCATCATCTTCTTCAAAATCAACATCATAAGTTAAATACAAAGAAATCTCATTAATTGTGCTTTGTTGTGTAGCAGGAGTTGATTTTGTTTTTTTAATAAGATTGGCAAACGTAGATTTGAAAATTGATTTTCCTTTAGATGATGTTTGTGTCGGGGGAGGGGGCGCATTGCCATATTGTGCATGAAACTCATTGAATAATGCATAAAATATATCACTAACCTCGTTGTATTCTTTTTTCGGATCAATTGGGTTGTCCTCATACATTGCCAAGGACAAAAAAAAGCAGCATAATAATAATTCAAACATTCTTCTAAAGAACCAAGTCTAAAACGAGGATCGAGAACAAATGCAATACCATAAATATGCGGAATATGTGAATAATATTTTAAAAACTTTTCCTTCATAAAACCAGTAAAATAACTCACATAATCAGCATTCTCAAAATTTGAAAAAGCACCGGCGAGATTAACAGCTTCACGAATAAATTGGTTTGAGGTAGGTTTATAAACATGACTAAAAGTTTCAGTTGCATTATTAAAATATATCAAAGCATTACAAATTTTTTCACAGGTGTCGATCTCAGCCGAGTTTATAATATAGTTATCATATTGTTTCATAAAAGCAGGAAAATGTTGTTTATATCTAAGAAGAACTCCAATTAACTTATAGGTACTATTCCAACGAATAGACAAATCTTTTGGAAAAGCCACATATCTCTCACCTCTTTCTATCAAATAATCATGCCATTTTTTCCTAAGGTGTCCATTACCCCAAATACGTCTAATCCCCCCCTTGACTACCTCCAACGATGCTCCCAACGCTTTTAGACCATCTTGCACACATAAATTTAGAACATGACATGCACATCGTTGATGAAAAAATCTACCCATCAAAGAAGTAGAACCACACAATTCACGCAATCTAGGAATAGCAGCAGTATTATTAGTAGCATTATCAAAATCAATAGCAAACACCTTATCAATTAAATTATACTCAATTAAAATACGTTCAATCAAAATATAAATATGTTCAGCGGTGTGACGATCATTAAATTCACGGAAAGCAAGAACACGTTTATGCATATGCCAATCATTATCAATATAATGTACAGTCAGACCCAAATAATGTAAATTATGATAAGTATCCTCCCATATGTCAGAACATACAGTAACACGTCCATCAAAGTTTGCAAAATAATTTTGTAACCTTACATTTTCCGCACCATAAAGCCTTGAAATTTCTTTCTTAACCGTTTTGCGACTATAACCTCTATATTGCGGATTTAAACAAGTTTGTGCATAATCACGAAAAGCAAGACTTTCAGAAAACAAATAAGGCAAATTTTCTTCAACAAGTAAGTTAGCCATACCTGTCAAATTTTGTGCATCATTGTATGAGAAATTACCAAAAGCTTGTTGGTTATTTGCAAACCTCGATATTTGCGTTTGTTTCCCCGTTCCGCCGCCTAATTTTGCATACTCCACCGGGTGTTTGGACTTAAGGTGTCTTGTGGCAGATCCGTATCCGCCGGAAATCCCCAAGCTATAGTTTTTCTTGCACCAATTGCAAGTTGCGGTCCAATTCCCGGTGTTCGGGTCCTTCCACTTAGAAAAATTATTAGCCATTAATTCAGATTTACTTTTTTTTGTACCTGTTTGGGATGAGGCTGCTTGGTCGGCGTCATGGCTGCCGCCACCCTCCTCCTCCTCGTCGTCGTGGCTCTCCGGAATTGCTTCCTCCACATCGTCGTCCTCGTCCTCGAGCTCTTCTTCGTCAATGGTCCTCGGTTGGTCTTGAAAAAAGCGGGAATTATGTCGGTGCAATTCTTGTTCTAGTTGTTCGTCGGTCATCGCATCCCCATCCCTCCTTACGTAACCCGTATCAAAATCATCTTGACTTTGAGATGAAGAGCCGATATGTGATTTACCTTTGCGGGATCTCTTCCTCGCAAGCTCGTTCGTTCGGTTGCGCTCGAGGTTACCCATATCAACCGAATATCTAGGACGATCCATCTAAAAAATGTAGCGATTAATAAAAAATTGTAAAAAACTATTTAACTATTTATCTAACTATTAATTCGAGTTATAGCAAATTAAGTAGTGAATTAACTAGTTTTGTGTACAACATATTTTTTAAACTAGAGTCAAATGTAGCAATTAATAAAATATTGTAAAAAACTAATTAACTATTTATCTAACTATTAATTCGAGTTATAGCAAATTAAGTAGTGAATTAACTACTTTTGTGTACAACATATTTTTTAAACTAGAGTCAAATGTAGCAATTAATAAAATATTGTAAAAAACTAATTAACTATTTATCTAACTATTAATTCGAGTTATAGCAAATTAAGTAGTGAATTAACTAGTTTTGTGTACAACATATTTTTTAAACTAGAGTCAAATGTAGCAATTAATAAAATATTGTAAAAAACTAATTAACTATTTATCTAACTATTAATTCGAGTTATAGCAAATTAAGTAGTGAATTAACTAGTTTTGTGTACAACATATTTTTTAAACTAGAGTCAAATGTAGCAATTAATAAAAAATTGTAAAAAACTAATTAACTATTTATCTAACTATTAAACAAGAGTCAAATGTAGCAAATTAACTAGTAATTAAACAAGTGTAAATAATAGAATAATTTCGTACCTCTTTCGGACTTTCGGTCTTTCGGATGGGAGTAATAGAATGACTTCAAATTAATTAGATATAATTCCAACTATATTAATAGATATAATAAATATATAAGTAATATATAATTAGATAACAAATATAAGTAATATAATACTATTTATATCTATTTATAGTTTATATAAGTAGATAATTAATATAAACTATAAATAATAAATATAATATATTGGAGAATGGAGAATAAGAGAATTAGAGAGTAGAGAGTTAAGAATAGGATTTAGGAAGAATTGGAGAAGAGATATGAAAAAATGTTTAAGATTAGGAGTATTTATAGGTTTTTTTACCCCCCCCCCCCTCCCCACCACCCCCACCACCCCCACCAGCCAACCCCCCCGGACCCCCCTTTACCCCACCCAACGGCTATATAGCCGTTTGGGTTGTCCCCAGCCCCACCCCCAACGGCTAGTAGGAGCCCAAACCATTTTTTTTTAAAAATAGACCCGGACCCGGACCCGGGCCAGGTCACAAAAAACCAGAACCGAGCCCGCCCCGCCCCTTCCCATCGGTTCGGGTCTATACCCGGTCCCGGACCGCCCGACCGGGCCGGTCCCGGGCCCGCACAGTACCGGGCCGGGCCGGGTCACGGGCCGGGTGGCCCGAACCGAATCCATCCCTACTTTTGACCCTACGAATATTGTGAGAGCAACACTTTAGCAACCATTAAAGTTCTCCACATTAAGTCTCCTAAGTATTGTGAAATTGACACTTTTAACCCTTCTGCTATAATTTTGCATTAACAAGTAGAAGACTACAAAAGTCAGTATGATAATAGTTGGACCAAAAGTGTAACTTTTATGAAAGTGGAAAGAACGTGTCTCTTACACAATAATCGAAAGTATAAAAATGTAAATATTTAAAATTTAGTATCAAAAGTGTCATTGATATTATAGTTGGGGACCAAAAGTGGTAAAAAGTCATCGATGAAAGAACTAGAAAACATTCTCTTTTGAAATAAAAATCTTGTCTCCTCAAATCTTGTTTCGATGTGAAGACGTGGTCCACCTATAATATACATGTGCTTGTGAAACTAATGACGCATTGAAACATAAATGGTTAGATGATTACACGACTCGTTATTGGTGTACACATTTCAACCGTGTACACCTTGGTGTACACGCTTATTTTGTCTATACAAACACATAATTGAAATTTTGAACGAATTGTCTCTGTACACAACCAAATTCTACCCTTCCCAGAAAACCTATCCAGATTCAGAATTAGCCTAGCAACTAGATGCCCCTTCTGCTGCCAGCACCAGGAAACCATGAACCACTGCCTATTCACTTGCCCTCTAATTAGACCTATTTGGGTCTACTTTTCTTCTATTTTGCA